GTGTGTGTGTGTGTGTGTGTGTGTGTGTGTGTGTGTGTGTGTGTGTGCGTGCGTGCGTGCGTGCGTGCATGCGTGCCTGCGTGCGTGCTTGCGTGCGTGCGTGCGTGCGTGCGTGCGTGCGTGCGTGCGTGAGTGCGTGCGTGCGTGCGTGTGTGTGTGTAAATAATACGGAGAAATTGGTACTGGTGGCCTTATGCGATCTTAGACAAAATTACTTATGTGAAAAGTCACATAAGAATGCAATGAAGAAAGTACGTTAAAACTTTATTTACATCTTATTATTTCTTAAATCGGTCGGTTAGAATACAAATGCTGTGAAAAAGGACTTTGTACCCCATACTGGTACATTTCAGGCTCAGTCACACCTGTCTTCCGCTTTGGCATGTTCATCACTCCGACTGCTTGGCGCGCTGCACAGTGACGTCACGACTCTAGCCCCAACCGCTGCTCGTCTAACTCTGACTGACATCGACAAACGGAAGTTGAAGTCGTTGATCAGTAGACCCTACTTAGATACTGCTGCCGGTAATATTTAATGTTTTATTTAATAATCTCAGTACAGAGTACTAAAAAAACCGACCTCAAAAGTACGTGGAATTACGTCTATTTGCTAAGTTTTATTGAAATATCCCCTAGTTCGCCACTATACAGGACTTGACACTGGAATAATAAAAATAGGTTCTCACTATGACACTACTTAAAGTATATCGAGAGAAAAACGCTTTGAATTGGAGAAATAGCAAAATCAACTAAATAATTGCTAAAAGTAATTGCTCCTAAATTAAAGTTAGGCGCTATTTATAAAAATGAATCCTCATGCGTGAACAGCCACCATTTGAGGTGGATGATTTTCTTCAAAATGAAATGGGACCACTATGGAAATACCCCCTTTCCAACAAAAAAAGAATCATGAAAATCGGTTCACAAATACCGGAGTTATCGCGTAACATACATACAAAAAAAAAGAACATACAGACGAAGTGAGAACCTCCTCTTTTTTTGAAGTCGGTTAAAAACAAGGTTAATAATTCACTTAGCTGACTTGAGACACAGTAAAGTCAATAACTACTTAATATTTTAGCTTCCATTGCACTTTGTCGAACTTTGTCGAATTAGGGCTTTTTTTCGTGGTTTTAAATCCGGACTTGCACCTCTCCGTTTTTCGGAAATTACATTCAAAATTTAAGTGGCCGAACGGTTACCAAGCTGGACGCAGAGGTCCCTTGTTCGATTCCCGGGCCGGGAGAAATAATTGTATGGCCTACATTCATTTGTAACATTGGGTATAATTTTTGGTTGTCTTTGTGTATGTCCATGGCACCCGCGACACAGGGTCTCCCTAGTGGCGGGGCTATGAGTGTGTATGTTATACAAATTTGAAATTTACTTGAGCTTGTCAGTGAAAGAAAACATCATGAAGAAACCTGCACACAGCTGCAAAACTTATGTACTTAGAATGATATGTGCATTACCTATCCGCGTAGGGCCCGCGTGGGAACTATAGCCCAAGTCCTCCCGTTGCGAGAGGCGACCTGTGCCCGGCTGTAGAACTATACTTATATAGGCTAATTATTATCACTGAACTTTTTGGATTCGTCTTTGTTCATCAATTTAAAAAAAATTGTTCTCTATCATATTGATAGATTTGGAGAAACACAATGTCATGAACACGAAAGTTTTCATAAAAAGTCGATACAACCTCAAATGGCTTTGGTTCATTCCGCATAACAGTGAAAGCGTTGAATCGATCACTTGTGGAAAAAATATTAATAAAATTGAGAACATTACACTCATTAGTACAGATACGGTGTGAAAACACGATTCCTAAAACACAAACTTACCTCGAAATTTTACAAGAAAACCGTCATATTCAATAGGTACTTTACATACACCAATGATTTTTTTTTACATCAACTGAATTAAATAGAGCACGTATAGTATACAATATACATTTTTTAAATGGCTTTAATTTCGTTTGTTAAAAAATAAATTGTAAAATAAAGCCGCCCGACCCAAGCAAAATGAACCGTATTAGCAAGGGAAAAGTTTGAATTCGAGCTGAGGTAGTATCGACAAGTCAGGACTTGAGTATTGCAGTGACCACTGAAAATCATACTCAAGTCCTTGCCATTAGGGTCGTATTTCAAGTGCTTGAAATCATACTTTCGTGAAGATTTCGATTTGTATTTCGTGAAGGTAAAATAAATAATAATATTGGATATAAAGGGGTCATTAGTAGGCATGTGAAAATACCTTCTCAGCTGTCATGTTAGTAGCAGTAAAGCTCCTTGTGAAAGAGTTCGTCCAGGGAAGTACTGCAACCTGACTTATGTCTGCCGCCAAGCAGTAATGTCAACATTACTGTGTTCTGGCTTTGAAGGGTGCCGGGCGCAGTGGCGTGGCAATGCCCCTCATATCTTTGCGATTTAAAGCTCTGAGTGGCATTGCGACTGTTATGGATAGGCTTACCCTAGGCGCACGACTTGTTCGTCCCGTCACTTGGTAGGTATCACATACAAACATCATAAACAACGTTTTAACAAAAAAAAAATCATAATAATTTTTAACGAAATTGAGTTATTAGTTTATCTGGAATGAACATAGCTGTTTTTTTGTACCTTCTTTAGTTTCAGTTTTATTATTAAACAAAATCTGCGTAATTGTATGTCAATTACGCAGATTTTGTATGCATTATGTATATGATTTTCAAAGAACAAAAAACATTAGAAGCCAATATCACGACAGTTACCAAAATGCAATTATTTGTTGTTTATGAAACGTGATTTTACTTTCTCTTAACAATTATTGAAGGATCGCGCATAAAAGAAGAATTGAATGTAATGCTGAGGAGTGGAATCAAAGCGGAGATAGAAGCTCTTGCACCGACGGCAGCCGCGCTTTGCGACGCTTATTTGCCAGCCAAACTTATTCATGGCGATTATCTAGGATAGTTTCAATATGTAACAATTAATAAATTTATGTTTTTAAAATGCTTTTATTTGTCTAGCTACCATTTCATTGCACTTTAATAATAACTTTGTATTTTCAATCTTAATCTTAAGTCTTAGTAATCTATTTGTCACGTTCATTTTATATTTTAGCGACATCTAAGGGGCGGTTAAGTTAGTATAAGTATAAAGCGCCATCTAGTTAAAATATGGAGTACTTTATTCTGTCGTTATTTACGCGCGTTTTGATGTTGTTATAGTTTAAAGAAAAATTGTAGATGGCGTTGACGTAGCCAAATAACACCCTTAGCGTACTTTTGGCCTTCTGGATAAGGAAGGTAAGGACAAATTGAAATGAGTTTGAGTAAGTACCACCACGTTTGAAAAAAATATGTGGTAATGAAGTCAGGTAGTGGTAAGAAAATGTTTGCCCCAACGGGAGCGGCTCAACAGACAGGCAATACTAAGCAAATTTCATAACACCACTTGTCTTAAATTCATCATTACTTATTGTCATCTACCTCGCCTGAACCACCTCAATGCTAATTTGTTCGAATACCACTCAGTGTTACATGAAGTGCGACGTTTTAATGAAACGAGGTACCAAAGTGTTTGTGGCGTTAATTTAGTTCCTTGATCATTTTGCCATTTGTCCAGGCGCAAATGGCGATCAGGGGCCCTCTGCCAAAAATTCTTCACCATTAATCGTAATAGATTTCATAGAATATACGTAAATTGTATATTTATGTTATATTTTATTATTATAGCAACAAAATAATCATGTCGCAGCAATGACAACTTCAAATTAATGTCACGAATTTTATACCAAATCAGTGTGACAACAGGGGTGATTTGTATCAAATTATCCAAAGACTGCAATGAATTGAAGTCGTCGTGAAGAGGTTTGCTTTTGCAAAATGTACCAAATTAGTTTTAGGTATATTACTATGTAAGGTGGTAAGGGTTCTCCTACAAAATTAACAAGTTAAGCTCATGTGTAATGGATAAAGAATCGCAGGAAAAAGCGTCGCGAGACAAGAAAATGGCAGTTGAATCTCATCAGGGCGGTCTTACAGCTGAACCCAAAACAGAGTCGACCAAGCGAAAGTCTTTCAATATAGATGATGCTGTGAGGACTCTGGATTTGGCTTTGGGCAGATTGAAGAAGAGCAAATTAGTGAACGGAGAAAAAAGCTCAGTTAACGTGCCGACGGGTACAAATCAGGTCATTCGCTCCCCGGACATGTTCATGGACATATCGGGGTCTAACACTAACGTGGCTCTTGGGTTAGATAATGCTTCGCTGATGTCGATGAATTTCTCACATTACGAGCTAATGCGCAACCTATCATGTTCCACCTCCAACTCGGAGGGCACAGTCAGCGGCACCACGTGCGCCTACACACCCGACAATTCTCTCAGGAACGAACATCTGGAGAAATTTTTCCGCAGCGCCGAGATGTGGACCAGAAAAAGTTCCCCGAATAACGTTCGTTTTGATGTACAGGAGAAGTAAGTAAACGTCCTCTTGTGTTTGGTTTACGTTTGTGTGGTGAATAAAACGACGCAATGAACGATTATGTAAATTTCAAATTTTATTATTCAAAGAAACTTTACAATAATAACGGAATAATCTCAGATTTTATAAATAAAACGTACCATTCTATACAACACTGTAACTCTTAAACGAGAAGATAAGATTAATAACACTGATTTAACAATAACGTAGATTTTAGATGCACTTTCTAGGGCCACCAAACTACTTGATACTGAACACAATCCTTTTTATATTTTGATTTAGTTCAACTTTTGTTTCGTACTGTATGTATACAGGCTAGCGAATTAATTAATAGTTGTAGCATCGTTGAGTATTACGAATATTTTCGATAACCTCCTTGGTCGAGTGCACAACGGTTTTCATGGTGTCGCCATATTTGAGGTCCTGGGTCCGATCCCCGACCAGGTCAATATATAAAAATGTTTCTATATTGTCTCGGGTCCGGGTGTATGTGGTACCTTCGTTGTTTCCGATTTCCATAACACAAGTGCTTTAGTTACTTATTTTGGGAGCGGAGCAACGTGTGTGATGTTGACTAATATTTATTTATTATTTAATAGGAATGTATATCTAACAAGGTTATGATTTGTTCAGTATCAGGTATTCACAATCTAACCGCTAAGGGAGCATTCCGCAGCACTCTAAAGTTATGAAGGCGGACACTACACTGTGTGTGTCACTATTGCATTCGACGTAAATAACATGGTACCTTAAGTACGGTATATTCCAGGTATAATCCATACCTTAAGTATGGATTTATGCCTGGTTAATACGCATTGACATTATGTAATAGTTCGTTAGATAATTTATTTGATTTAGTAAAATTTAAAAAAATGCGTTTCTTACGTCAAATGTAATGGTGAAGTTTACAGGGGATCCTAAGAACAATGTATTACTGACTCACATTTATACCACATTCAAATTGAATCTGAAAAGACTAGGACGAAAAATCTAAACTAATTTCATATGGAATTCTTTGGAGAAGAAAAATAGTCGTAATAGAGTCGGCATAAGGAAATAATTGACATAGTCATCACATAGTTCCTACTTTCCTGCCCCAAGAATTAGTCATAAGTTATAGAAGCTTTTGCTATACTGGAAGACTAAAGGACTAAGTTATTTTGAAAGGAAATTCAAGGAGGAGACATAGCGTTAGTGTGCAAACAATTATGCTACGATCAGACATCTCTGTGCTAAAATTTAATAACAACCAAGCTGTATTATCTTTACGTTCCGTTAAAAATCCTATACACGAATCAAATTGGTGTTATCTTTAGTAATTCTCATTATAACTAAGTAGAATCCCACATAAGAGACTGAAATAAAATTATTTTTATACTATTTTCTCTAATATTTACTTTTTTGGGTATGGCTGTTTGGGTTCTAATACACTAAGTTACTGGGTTACAGTGTTTGTACTCATATATAAGGTGTTAATATGGTTTGGTACAGTCACATGCAATGAAATGTATTTATGTAGCGATATTACTATTAAATAATTATAGAAATATAAAAAAAAAATCGAATTGCAATCTTGCTACATTTTGTTATGTTTACATTTCATTGCGGGCGTTTGTACGTACATACACGAATTAGTGAACCCTTATTACGTCTAATTTGAGGTTTAAGCCATTACCCAGTTCACTAGCATGTTAACGTAACTACCAAATTTCGCTAATGAAATCAATATTTACATACAACATGATGTAAAATTTAAAGCACCCGGTTTCCGAACTCTCTCGTATTTTAATTAACTATAAAATCTCATATGTAGTGTGATGTAGTACATACACGTAGACCGTAATTATATTGTCTATTTTTGTTTCAAGTCTAGGTAAACAAAGCAATATAGATTTATTTTAATGGAAGAATTAAAAAACTTTTCAATTAACTTTAATCTTATCGTAATTATTTTTTATTATTACAATGAATTCGATTGACTAGGCCCTACACAATATCAGAGAAGATATAATTATTCAATGTATATTAATCCAATATCGTTATTTTACGCAATAGAAGAATCACAGCATCCTCAAGACCATAATGGCAATTGAAATTAATCTCATCGACGTATCGTAGGCATTTAATTAATTACAATGATTGTAAAATTTAGACCAAATTGGCAGTCTTCACAAACCTGGAATGTACGATATGCGTCTATGCAGGTATCCGATAACACTTAATTAATATCGGCAAACGTTTATCTCTATACAACAACAATTAATTATCTAGTGATGTACCGTGAAATCAACAACAATGTTAAAGTATCTAATGTTTCCACTGATTTTATACAGCTCTTTTGATTTGCACTACGATGTTAGAGCTCGTAGAAATCAATGGAAATAAACTACACTCACAATGGAAACAGAGATTTTATTGCTCGGATATGATTCGTGATAATCCTACAAAACCAATTAGGTAAGTAGTTTTAGAAACTCACCAAGAATATTCTAATGACATGGATTCGTCACAACTTTTACAGATTACAAACCAACACGATGACTGCCTAAAATTATAGAATCTATCAAAACAGGTATATTTTCTAGCCCGATTAAGTATTATTTTGTACAAGCTTATTACTCGAATTTTATTATTTATTTATTTTGTTTAAGGTCTTCGCCACATAAGACTTGTTTTTTATATTTTTGGTGATACCCTTCATGTTTTATTTAATTTAATGAAGATCATCAGTCGGGTAATAAGAGTCGACTGGTTATACGACTTCCTTAGTAATAAGATAGAAAATGGTAATGAGATGGAGCAAAAGCGGCTAAGGTTAGGGGATGATCAAGGTCACTTCATTTCTAAATATTATAAGTCACTATAAAATGCCTCTTCTCGAACAATTACAATTTATGATTAGGGTATTTTATCTACATTGTCGTATGAAGTATTTTTAACAGCACTATATAACATTACAAAACTTAACATTCGTCTGTGTAAGTCATTTTAAAATTAACTTCTAAAACTGTAAAACACCTAACGTTTCCCTACATGATAAGCTCCTCAGTTATCTCGGTTATTTTAGTTGTAATAACAATGGGTCAGATAGAAAATAAACGAGAAACTTTAAGTTTTAAATGATTTCAGTGTTAATTCTGCATAAAGTTAATTTTTAAAATACTTTGTTACAGAAACAACTACTATACAGTTTAAGATAAATTACTTTGAATTTGTTTTAACAAGATTTAAATGCATATCTCTATGCGTAGAGAACTTTGGTAGAGAAGATAGAAAAGCTTGGTATAGTAGTAAAGGTGACAGTAGAAAATAGTAGTAAAAGCCTAATGTGAACAAGCTCGAAAGGTTATGAATAATAGTATGATCACAATTTATCAACAGCTTTAATTCATTCATTCTAAGACGTGCTTGGGAATCGCCTCCTATAAAAGATTTTAGTTTCATTCAATATTTATCCAATATAATTTATTTCCTATCTAGGCTTCACTTATACTTAAATTTAGCAGAAGTCACAGTAGTACGATAGTAGGGTATTAACCGCAGGGTGCTGAAGCGAAGTTTTATGGACTGAATGAGGAATAGTTCAAATTGAATATAATTCTAATCGCTTTAGTCCGTTCTCACTTCTATTATAAAACAATAATTGCCGATCCATTATTTCGTAAATCTTGAAACGGACTTGTTATTATCATAAGTTACGCACGATTAATCTAAACACACACAGTCCTCACCTAACACTCAAATCATCTCTCGCACAAGACGTTCGCTAATGTACAACAAAGGCGTTACTAAACCAAACGTGTAGGGAACACATTTTATTAAAGCACTATCTCATGTACATATTTACATGGAGCAATATGATAACAATTAGATATATTCCTGAGGTAACCGGGAGTAAAATTGTGTTGACCACGTAGGTCTGTTGTTGCCCTTATCTGTCAGGAGGGGGTAACTTGGTATCCTCAGGGTCGAGGGAGAGGCACTCTCGGAGGTAGTCTTCCATAGAACGATAAACGTGTTCAATCACGCCTTTGAGGTCGTGACCTTCGTCTGCATATGCCTGAAAAACGAACAAATACATAATTAATTATTAAGACATACAGAGATCGAATACTAAGGGCGCGTTTAATCGACACGAATTTCATCGCGGTGTCGCCGCGCAGCCGCCGCGCAGCGACCGCGTGCGTGTAACTGTCATGGCAAAATACGCTCTATTTTTTAGCTTTTACATTTTAACTTGAAGCTGGCTTGTCTTTGGTCCACGCGGCGACCGTGCGGTAAATAGAATTTAGATTCGCCATTAATGTACGTGAAAGCGTGATAACTGGGCGGTCGCGCGAAAACTTTCGCATCGTATAACTTTAAAAATTCCTTCAAAATTTCAAAAACTTTCATAGATTTCTCACAGATGGCGCTATGGAAAAAAGTCGTTAAAACCAAAAACAAAAACCTGCAATAAGCACATAGGAAAAATCGTAAGGTCGGCTGGTTCGTTCCGTAGCTTAATTGTGAGAATGTCAGGCACGGTATGCTGACGGCGCTGGTTCGTGTCCAGGCGGATCGAAGGAATTTTTCTTGGTGTTTGATGTTTGTATTAATCATTATAACAAACTAGTGGAGTAATTTCACAAAAAATAATTGAATATCAGGTAGTGAAACAATATTGATATTCAACAAACTTAATATGTAAAATAAATTCATCGAATTACTACTTAGCTATTAATATTATTATTATATTATTATATGACTACTAATTAATACTTAGCAAGAATACCGTACTTACCTGATATCGAAAGAGAACGCCTGCATCGGTGAGTGACCTGGCGAGCTGCAGGGTATGTGGATAAGGTGCGCTCATATCTGCCATTCCGTGAATCAGGTAGAGTGCGTGCGCTGGCACGTGGTGAGCTCGTTGAGATGCATCAGCTTCCACATAGCCTTTATAATTCACAGAAGGCATTCCAAGAATACGTTCCGTGAAGGCAGCATCTAGAGATAAAATTTAACATCGACGTCAGATCGGAATTCTTGTATGGTGCTATGATGCAAAAAATACAAACACTTACTGTAATAAAGCCAGTCGGTTATTGGCGATACAGCTATTCCACACTTTAAGGTTGACTGTTGGGAACCAAGCAGCATCGCAGTAACATAACCACCATAACCCCAGCCCCATACAGCTACACGAGTTACATCTAAGAACTTGAACGTGTCTAATAGGTACCTGAAACAAAAAAAATAATGCATTATATGAGTTTGTAAAGTTAATGTAAGATTTATTTATCAGATATTGTTTACCTAATAACAGCCAATTGATCAGCAACTTCTACGCCTCCAAGACGACCTCGAAGCAGCGCTCGCGGCAGACCTTTTGCGCCTGCGACATCCAACTTGACGTACACAACATCATTACGTGACGACATGTACGAACCCCAGTCTACAAGGAATTCCTCCGTCACTTGTTGACTACCGGGCCTGCCGTCCCTAAAAATGCAAGCACAAAATTCTGCAGACACCTATGCCAAAGTGAATTATGGATTTTAAAAACTCTTACAAAAACTAAAACCCCCAGAATCTATATATTGGAACGATGCCAAGTTCCTCCATATCAAATTTCATGGTTGTCCAAGTAAATGAATTCACAAACTTGGCAAGTAAAGACTGACCGCGAACTCAACTTGTAGTTGCAGATGAGTACTTACACATGTACAAGCACTGGGAAAGCAGCGTCACGAAGCTCCTCGCGCCATGAGGGTGGCAACAGAAGCTGTACTCGGGCCTTGGAGCCACTCCCCAACTGCACGTCAAATGATCGCCGCGTTGGCAATGCTAGCTCTCGTAAACGAACTGATCTGCTTGAAAACAAGAATGTATTACCAAAGAGTCCGTTTGCGTCACAACAAACCTCCTTTTCACTTGTTACTCTTACTTACCTATAAGGCCTCGTATCATAAAGTATTCTCTCTAATTTATGCGTCTTAGCATCGTGAAGTCCTGCCAAAGGAGGGCCCGGGCCGCCGCATTCAAGGACGTAATACGTAATGCCGACCTTCGGTTTTGGTGGGGAAAACACTGCTTTCCAGTAAGAACAGTTGGCATAATGTAGCCGAGCAGGCCAAACATTAAGCTCGCACGTGAGGCACCGTGGTTCTTCTCGCTCAGCTCTTGCTTTTACAGAATTGCTGCCTCCTCCGTAACCAGGATCTCTGACCACGTAAACATGCCTCTGACCTGGTCGTTCTGCGCTACCTGTATCCATAAAAGTTATTCGTCATTTTAACGAAAGTACAAAAAGTACAAATTATCCACACACGTACATTTATCACAGAATATAGAAACAAACTCTCACACACTCCGTTGTCCAAGACGCTTGGGCTAGATTACGTGCTTAGGTAATTTTTGGTTTATAAATGGAGTATACGAAGAAAACTTAATTTTAGCATGAAGCGAAAATATTATTGGTGCTGGAGCACGAGTAGGGTTAGTAAATAGGTACTTGACTAATCAATGAAATCACTCAACTGCACTCAATCTAAATACTTAATTTGGTTTGCTTCTTTCACCATATCAGGATGTAGCTTAAGTATGTACGACTTTTCTTTATCTAAACCTTTAATGGAAATAACATTTACTTTTAGAAAATATTTTTCGGTTAGATTGGGTCATTTCTTAATAAAAAACCTAGTGTTTACTCACCTAAATAATAAACTAAATGATTTTCCTGGTCCCACGCTAGTATCTCGGCCACCTCCACTTTGCCATGTGACAATACGGCAATTCGTTGTCGTATTACATCCACGTGCTTAATGTGAGTATAATATTGACCTCCACCTTCTTGCACGGCTGCTAGCAGAAGAAACGCACCACCATCTTCCGAGTACACGGGCCTTTGATGAACTTCTAACCAGGGCTCATCTGTTGCTTTTTCTGAATGAGTCTGAAATTGCAGATTACTTTCTAGTTAATTTTTATTCACTAATTTTGATTTGTTTTATAAATAAGATGTACCTCTGTGCATGTCCAATTCGGTGCGTAACAACTGCTGTAAACGGTGAGGTTCTGAGCACGGTTCATCCATACAACTCCTACATGGGAGTTCTCTTTGCCCACCCATTGGGCTGATATGAGGTAATACTCCCTGTAAACGAAAGAATATTGATAACTACTTGTAAAACTGTTGCCATTAAACGAAATGTCTTGGTGATAAATGAGACGTACATTCCATCTAGTGTGCTCGGAGGTTTGACTTCCCATCTTGGCGGTGACGATACGTTTTGAACTGCGACTATCCATAATGTTACTTTTGGTATCGAGCTGCCTGGCTGAAAGTGTAAGTACTTTTAAATTAAGTAGCTACAATAATAATAATCTCAAAACAAACCGACCCCAAAAGATCGTGGAATTACATCTATTTGCCAAGGTTTATTGAAATCGGTTACAGGAAACCGCGCGAAACCGGATTCATATATCTTCTTCAAATTTAAATAGAATCAATACTAAGGTACCCTCTTTCCAATAAAAACAGAATCATCAAAATGGGTTCACGAATGTCGGAGAAATCGCGTAACATACTTAAAAAAAAGAACAGTGGAATTGCGAACCTCCACCTTTTTTCTGAAGTCCGTTAAAAACTATCAATCAGCATGGATAATTATCCTAAATAAACCTTTGTAGGTAAATTCATTCACGATGAATGAAATGAACGAACGAATCATTCTTCTTAATGTTTCGTTCGGTAACAGTTTACTATTTAGTAACAGTCAAAATAAAAATCTGTGAAGTACACATTAAATACAAAGACGTCTTACATGTTTGATAAACTATATGATATCAAAAAAAACATACAGTCGAATTAAGCACCCCTCCTTTTTTAAAAGTCGGTTAAAAACTTCTTGAAAGAAAAGAGTATTAATAATATATCCATAGAAATAATTTTTGGTTATTAGTTTTAATATGGTTTTGTACCGTAGGATATCTAATGGTGACGTGTTCAGGGTATACGCTGTGCATGGAGGTGTTGAAGGCAGGGAGGAGGAAGCCTGTACGCGCGGCGCCTGCGCCGCCGATGCTCTCAGAGATGCGTGGAAACTTAAGCTCTGAGACTGAACTGTCGTCATACTGGACGTACAACACCAGAGTTCCGTTCGGCGAGCCCCAGGTGGCAGATGGCGTTTTCGTCACCTCTTCTGTAAGAAATTAGCCATAATCCCACTTAAAATGAAAATGTTGAAGTTTAATACTTTTGTGCTGTGGAATATACCCAAATTACTCCAGTAAAATAGAACAATTGTAATAATATACCATAAGGGTGTGTAATGGAAGATATAACAATAAATAATCTATTTTCACTTTGTATAACAACATTTGACATAATTTCTAAAGATATAACTTACTGTGTATAATCAACAAAAGGTATAACAACAAAAGGCATAATTTCAGTGTGTATAATAAACCTTCCTTATAACAAACATTATATAATGATTAGGTTACATAATGAACAAATGCTATAAATACTACCCACAGATCACATAAATACTAGTTACCAGTATAATGTATTAAATAATATAACACAATATTTCGTTTCACGATCAGTTGAAGCGCTCTATAGAGCATATATGTTGATAAGAAGTTTTTTACACTAGCAAAATATAATTGTTTTTGTGTAGCTTTAAGTGCTTTTAGTGTAATAAAATATATTTATTAAAACTTTAAGCAGAATATTTAATTGTATGCAATTAAATATTCTAACTTTTAAATAAAATTTTAAATAATATTGAAATTAAATACTAACCTAACCTAAACCCACAGAAGGAGGTCGAATCAACTAGCAAATGTAAACAAATTCGGTTAATTCACCATTGCACCTAAACACCACTGGAATTATATTTATAATACATTTTACTTTGTCATATACTAACCTAACCTAAACCAACAGGAGGCGGTCGATCCAATTAACAAATGCAAACAAATTCGGTTCTTTCGCCATTGCACCTGAACACCACTGGAATTATATTTATAATTTATAATCAGTGAGTGTTATATCTGAAGTTTTTATATAAAATCAACATTATGCCATCGGTATATTAGATTAATAGTTGTTATAACAATCTTGTACTATACCCAGTGATCTTTATATCATGCAAGATTATGTTAAACGAGTGCTGTGCCACCTACGGTGAGGTCGGGCTCGGCCTGCGGCGCGTGGTCGGCTTCAGTGGCACAGTAGTTAGTACTATGGGCGCTCGATGAGGAGGTCGATTCCCGGTTTATGCCAATTTAAGAAACGAACATTTCTAAGTTGGTTTTGGTCTGAGTATTCTGGGTTATCGTTGATTTGGTATTCATAGTGCCTACATAGTACAGGAAATTCGGCAGTAGTTTGGCATTTTTCCCCCTTAATAATTCTCTTTGGCAAAGCTTTCAAGAAAATGAAATCTAACATAGAGACGGTTGAGATACAACAACGCTATAATTAATATCTCATTTCCACTACATCGGGAAGCATGCTTTACATTTTTACCATTGTGAGATCTTGTACTCGTAATCTATTACGTCCCCGTATATTATCTCCATTTGATGGCGTGCGGACGCTTCGTGCTTCGCCCTCCGCGGACCACGGCCTCCGGACTCGACTTATGGCTTTGTTTTAAAAAATTTGAAATAGCTCTTTAATGGCGGCCATATTTAAAAATTTCAAAAATGTATTTTGACCACTAATTATTATCAAACACCTATAGAGACCCCCACATATCGATTTTCAGTTGAATTTGAGCTAATTTTTATTAGTTGTTGAATGGCGGCCACATTAAAAAATGGCGTAAAGCCATTTTTGATCGCAAATTATTATCAAGCATTCCCAGAGACCTACACATGCCAATTATCAAAGGGATCAGAGCATTTTTTTTCTGCCGCCAACGAACGCTTCTATGGCAGCCATATTTGAAAATTGCGAAAAACCAATTTTGACCACAAATTATTATACGGCACTTCTAGAGGCCTCCGCATGCCAATTTTCAGCTGAATCAGAGCAAGTCCGTTTCGGCAGCCACTTTTGACGAAAAAAACACTTATATGATGGCCATATTACAAAAATGGCGAAAAGAAACTTTTGACCCCAAATTATGGTTAAGGATTCCTAAAGACGGGGGTCTTTAGGAGTCCTTAACCATATTTTTTTATTTTGTTTTTCTTCGGCCGTCATTTTGAATTCGCCACCTTGTTTTTTTTAATCCAGGCAGTTGACCACTATTAATCTCTATGACATTCCTTCGAGCACCTCTTACCTATCTCTAATAGTTTCCGTGATAGGAGACTTTGAAATTTGTATGGCGGCCATCTTATTTATTTGAATTTCGAGCATTTTTTACTTCCAGCGGAAATTGACCAGGATCTACCTCATAAAAATACACAAATATTCCCTCCATATATTATAGTTTTTGCAGGCCATTGTCACTCTTTCATATTTTCCACATTTAGGTCTTCTCATATTTGATTCTTTGCTTTGGAATCTATCCGCGTACAACGGTATAAATATTTTTTTTCCACCATATCGGGAAGTATGCGTTCTATTTCTATCAGTGAGTAAGAACTTGTAGCTTTATACATATAATAGTATAATAATGTCTTTATACCATAAATTAATTATATCTGTTGAGCGTTATATCGACTAAAAATATGTCATTTGTTGTTATACATTACGAACCGTACCCGTGCCAGACAACCACACCAATTGCCTGATCTCAAACTAGGGAATTTGATCCAACCGGAAACGAAAACGGGACCTCTTAATCCAGTGCCCACAGTATTTCTGCGGTTAAGCATTAATGTTAGCGTTCCGGTTTAGTAGGGTGCTGGTGAAATTTCAGGCACATGGGTCTTGTCACCTTATGTCACAGGGTGACGGGCGCAGTAGTAGTGCCCCTCAGATCTTTGCGATTTAAAGCTCTGAGTGGCACTGCAATTGTTATGGACAGGCGTGTAGCTTTATCTAGACATATGTATGTGCTTACCATCAGGCGCACGACTTGTTCGTCCCGTCACTTGATGTTATAAAAAAAGTATAAACCTTTGGGCCACCGAGGCCGTCAAATTTAAAAGTAATGTTATAATTTTAATATCACATTAAATTTCAAACAAACCTTGGTATAACCAATCGGAAACGCCATTGTAGACTCGGCCTGGGATGGAATCGTTTGTGAGGTACAGTAGGGGACTCCTGCGTGCCGGAGGGCCAGGACGTGCCAGCACCTCGTTGTTCGCCGCCAAGAGCAACGCGCCGTCCTGGCCCAGCCAAGAAGCGAACTGCCACTCCCACGTCTGACTCGACTCCCCGAATAGTGGAATATGATGGCTGGGATATAAAACGTCAATTTCAGAAACAGTTAAAAGTACGATTGAGTTGTTGGAATGTTAGATTATTTGTTGATAGATTTTTACCTTTAAAAACTTTGTCAAATTAATTTAGTACAAAAAATGATTTTGAAATAAATGAGCAAATTTAGACTTTGCAGTTATCTGCGATACAGTAAAGTTTCCATCTCGAATTGTCAATACTTCAGTAAAGTCACGTTACTGAAAAATTTAAAGTATTGCCAATCCTTACCGAAGCCGCATCAAAATTCAAGTCACAAACTTTGAAATGAATTGGCAATCGTATTCTCGTATGTACCTATATCTATTGAAATCGATTTTGACTCTCGTAAGGAGATAGCAAACCGGTAGAAAGATATACAATAAATTACTTTAGTTACGTATGTGGCATGTGGAATAAGGTTTACAGCAATTGGAAAAGGTGAGAAACCCCCAACCAGCATTGGGCCAGGGTAACAGACTATGATCAATGGGGTAACGATGATGGGTAGATGATGTTGATGTTGTATAGCATTCGAGGTTGGAAAAATCATTAAATGTATATAAAATATCACATACATATATATAATAGTTTAGTAGCAGTAGAGCACCTTGTGAGAGAGTTTGTCCACTGCCACCTTACCTATTTCTGCCGCCCAGCAGTAATGGGAGTATTACTGCGTTTCGGTTCTGAAGGATGCTGCTGAAATTACAGGCATATGGCACTTGTCTACTTATGTCTCAAGGTGACGGGTACAGGGGCAGTGCCCCTCAGATCTTTGCTATTTAAAGATCCGAGTGGCACTGCAACTGCTATGGACAAGCGTGTCGCTTACCACCAGGAGTACGACTTGGTCGTCCCGTCACTCGGGATCATAAAATATATAGGTATATAAGATAATATAACGTAAGTACTTTTGTAAATACCTGTGTTGTAAAAAAATAAGTTTATCAACTTAATGAGATACACGATGATCGTGTCTACTATGTATGACGCAAATGTGCACAATATTGAAGGTAATTACGGCTGTGAGAATAACGCCCTGAATCTATTAAAATTCCACTCGCAAAGGGTAAATGTGGAACGAATAGAGCTCGTGCAGACATTTTATATTTTTTCTAGTGAGCAACGAAGTCACGACGTTCTAAACGTCACAGACATTTTTATAAGCTCGACAGATGGACTGTAATTTAGATTCCCTGATAAAACGAATCCTTATAAAAAGAAGACATATCTCTAACTCAACCTTTAGTGGGTGCTCCAAAGTGACATTCAGCAAGGGTGCGGTGAGTCAAAAACAATTTGTGAATACAAAATTCAATTTGACGTACAGGTAAACCTCCTGGTGAGGTATATGGTTGTGACCTTTATGGCACTTCGGGGCGCTATATATAAAAAAAATACTCACTCATTAGTGACGTCATAAACGGTGTAGTGAGCTGTAAATGTCCGCCGATAAACCTGTAAAAATAAAACAGGAATTATGTTTTCGAACGACCTATGTATTTATTTAGAAATACCGATGTTTTGCGGGTGTCATGTGTTTACGTACCTCCTTGATATTGTGTTGGAAGAGAACAAAACGCAAGTTTGGTGAGCACTGGTATCCGCGCACATTGAGCTGCCTCTGTGACAAAAAGTGTATTATTCACCCCAAGCTCGAAACTTGGGCTTTTTACAAAGTTGTTGGGAAACTTCACCTAGCGATCGTCAATTAAAGGGATCTCAATCTCAACGTTTATTTTCAGTTCTATATACTACTTAAATGAGAAAAATTTGATCTCAAAAGTTTATATAAATGTTGTTTGATTTTTAAATTATTTATTTTAAACAGAAACGTTTAAGTGAAACGTGGCCTACCAATCATCTTATTGGCCTACGCATTTCCTATCGTTGATGAATTGTGTTATCTATGGAGTCGTTTAAGTATATAAGTGTGTTGTGAATTTTTGCGCACAATATTCTAAGTTGGTGGTTATAGTTTTTTAAAACTTTGAATCATATCATTTTGTTAAACTGGACTAAATACTCACTAGTGTGTGGTTGGTGACGAGTACTGTAAGAGAGTTGTTGAAGGTATCGAGCGCTAGCAGCCCGCCGTCGTCGGCTTGGTACACGAGCTGATGTGAGCTGACCCACGTGGTCGGTAAACGCTCGCCCGTCAGGTCGCCGCGCAAGAACTCGTCCAGTCGCATACGACGCCCCGACCAGTACAAAAGTTCGTCCACATAACTGCGACAAATCAACACATTAATATATTGATAAAGTAGTACTGAAATATTATAAAATTTGTAGCAGCCTCATGCTCACCCTAATAAATAAATGGCTGTGACGATTCCAGCTATCACAAAACTGATCACCATCAAAGAGAATATGATACTTCTCCAGTTGTGACCATCCCCTGGATAGAGATCCTGGAAATGCAATGCCAATTTCAACATTAATTTTCGGTTTCTACATTTGGTAGATTTGTAAAAACGGCAAGTTCCGCTTTGGAAAGGTGGATACTTGCCGTCGAGTGCTATCAACGATCGGTGCAAAAGGCTAAGGAATGGAATTAGATTTGTCGAACGATCGTCTTCGATATAGGGATATTTTGTGAATCGGGCCGTAGCAATATGTATGCGAGAGGAAATATTCGGTTTGCATCTAGATCAAAGATGACAAATCTCCTTGATGTTTAATTATATATCTGAAAATGGCACACACCAAGTGACGGTATTTAACGATACGAAAAACCAAGAACAAAATAAAAAGTTATGCAACACACACACGAATACATATGGAACTTACGTCCTCTTTGGTGGATTTGGGATCGGCGACTTGAAGTGTCTCGTCGGGCGGGAGGCGCCAGGAGCCACCGCCGCCGCCGCCGCCCGAGCGGTCCGTGTGGCCGGTGGCGTGCATGCGCCGCCGCCGCCGCCGCCGCGCGCGCACCCGCCACCGCGCCGCGCTACGCGCCCGCGCTCGCCCCCAGTGCTGCGCCCAGCGCGCTTCGCACGCCCGTTAGCGCACCCACCGCCCGCAGCAATGCTGTCCGCCCCATTACTGTCAATAAAAGGCGATGGTATTAGAAATTAACTAACTCAATCTTAATAAACAGCAAATATGACACGTTGGAATATTGTAATATTTTATTAATAATGATATGTATATACGTAACATGTTTGGAAATACTTCAAATATTATATAATAATATGACATTATTCAACTTTTTACATATTCTGTGTCGCACAATGGTATCATATTTTTTAGAGAAGCTGAAGACACTTTTTTATACATTTTTTGCGGTCTGAAGTTGTTCAGTGTTCGAGACTATCCCAAAGTAATGATGAACGCTTTATAACCCTCTGTGAATTCATAACGTCTCTTCTAAATTATATTCAGGCGAAAGATTGAATATGAAACATAGCTTATGTGTTCAGTTTTGTTTTTAAATGATAAACGAATATGTATGTTTAAGAGGTAGTATAAGTCGAGTGGCAGATAATTTCTCATTTCATAGACTCGATGGGAGTGTATTGGAGAGCGGCCAATGCACGCCTCCGCCACCACATCTTCGTCACGCATGTGGCGTTCGCTAACGCTCGAGTTGTGAGTTTGGAAGCTATTATGAGGAAAAGAGCAGCTTTCCAGTTGCGCAGAATTAGTGGTTAATGGTAACAGGTGACACACTCCTGAATGTCATTGCGTTCAGGGTCCAGGGTTCTTTTCATGAGCACTGGACCTGAATGCATATTAACGTATCCAAAGAAAGAATATTTACTTGTAATACTAACCCTTACAGGCTAGGTTCAAAACAAATTTTTTTTATTTGATTTGATATTCAGTATAATTATCAATTTACAGTTCTGTAAATCTTAATCAAGTTGTTGTGATTGTGATTGTGTTGTGATTTTTATTGCAATAATTTTTATACAGATTTTTTATTTAGATCATGATTCGGTCATGTAGACCGAACTTGGGAAATATGCCAACGTAGGTTTTTTGACTTTACATATTGCCTGTAGCCGCAGCACATCTTCGTAGAAGAAAAATGCTAAGTTGGCAAGAATTTCGCTGATTTCCTTTTTTTTGGAAACAAAACTGGATAAAGAATGTTAATTGTAGTAGTTTGCGGTTCAAAATGCTGCGTTGCTGCTTTTGCACATTTTTATTTCGTCACAAATGTTGGGACCGTGGAGATAAATCTGAGTGGAAAAACTTGCAGCGCCTTAAGGAAATTAAACACATAAGTCTTCGAAAGTTCAAAGGAAAATAAGTCACCATGAGAAAAAATTAAATTAGCAATAACCTATTTCGGGCTACAATTATTTTCTTGTTAAAGTCGATTAAAATTGATGAAAGTTAAGAAAAGTGTGAAACTTCTGTACAGAAATGAAAATTGCCTCCAGTTGAGATTTATAGCGTGCTAAAGAGAACGTCAACACTAAGTAGGACTGGGCAGAAATATGAGCTTTTTAAACATGTTTCTTGTAATTGTCTCGGCGCGAACTTTGCACTTATTTTAATCTTACTGTCTTTACGACCGGGGTCGACTCGAAGGCTCCAGGGGATCGACTTAGCTGCAATGCGGATGGACCGCCGCTCCACGTAGTTTACAATTAAACATAATTTACTGTTACAAAACAAAGTAAGTATGCGGACGTGTTTTGGAGACTAAACAGTTTCGTCGGATGCCGCCGTCGAGAAAATGAAATATGACTGGAAACGCCGGCTGTTTTGTGTGTATAATTTACATTTTTATTTCAAGAGACCGCCTTCAACTCTTCCGCACTTATCTATACGTTTGTTTCTACAAGTTTTTGTAAGTTAGTCTGGTTGCGTTACTTTTTAGGCCGTCAGTGTTAGCTTGGCTACAAGCCAGGCTCTAATTCAATGGAGCCTATCACTTTTATTCCACTGCAGAAGCCTTTTCTTTGCAAAATCAACTAAAGTAACATGCTTGCTAAGTATTGCCAAACATTGGTGGTATTAAAATTACAGAATACAAAATCTTAAAAAAATTGATAGTATTGAAAGATTTCTCAAGAACTATGTAGTCGATTGAAAATCTAGGTACTTAAAAACCGCTTATTCGTGAAACATTTATTTTAATACTTATTATTCCGTAGGTGCGGAATAAATTGAGTAAAATAATAATTTAAGATAATATGAAAAACGAGCGTACCGCGACCACCACACTGGCGATATGCCAGATTTGTAAACAGAATATTAGTGCTATCGAAACATCCACTCTTTCAATTTACTATGTTTTTCTTGCTTCATTTTCTCACTAAAAATATTTTAACAACGGCCTGTGATGTTTAAAAATGTCGTCATAATATTGAATAGATCATAGTAAGTGAAATAACTGCATCAGAATTGTAAGTAATCGAGGATCATAAACAGGCTTCAGTTTGCTTAAAATATTTATTTGTTAGAAAACGTCAGCAGTTATTAGTTTGAGATTTAGTGTACCTACATGCAACCACTGTTAGCAGTTTAAAATGAGTCAAACCATGGTTTACAGTTTGTATTACGTAAATATTTATTAAATTGCGCAATTAAATTGCGTAATGTGTTAGGAGAATATCACTGTTTACGCCGCGCCACTGTGACAAATTAACGTTACCTATCTCTGTTTCGTTTATCAAATTAACTAAATAATATTTTAATAAAGAAAAAGCATTCATTAAACGAATAAAGAATTTATTCTCACAAAATGATAACATTGAAATTATTTATAATAGACATCTAAACAAATGCAAATAAATAGAAATATTAATTAATACATAATAACACTTACATACGTGATAATACAGTTTAATAGTACATTATGATATAAGTGCGGTAATTTTCAAAGCGCACGTATGTCATACGACGTTTTGTAACATATTTGCGAGGAAATAAATAAGACTCTGACTTTCTTAAACGAATAAATATTTAATTACTTGTTAAAGCAGTTATAGAAATTTGAACAATTTTGAAAAGTGATTGTTACGTTGCCAGTTGGCACTTTTAATGTTGTCAAGTTATTATTATTAGTTACAATCTCCCCAGTCTCTCTCTCACTCTCTTGAGTGAAAGTAGGAGAAACTAGACCACAGAGTTCTGCAGTCGGTGGCGGCGGCGGAGGCGGTTGCGGCTGCGGCGACGATGATGGAATGTAGCGTGTGTGCTCGTAGATGGTTGAAAGTCAACACTTGACTCCAAATTTATGTTCCTTGTAATGCGAGAGCTAATTTCTTCTTTATTTCTTATCGAGTCTTCTATGTATCCTTCGGCTACATTGCTTGACCGCCGTCCTCTGTGGCGTTTTAGTGTCAATAAGTCCGCATCTGAATCGGCGAGCAATGTAGCCGAGGACCTTCTGAAACTGTGCCCTGTGTATTCATGTGCTTGAGGCAAATTTAAGAAAGTGGCAATTTCTTTCGGCATTGCTCCCAATTTATTAATGCCAATGGGTTGGTTAGTGCATTTTCCATTTTGGTAATTTTGAAAAAAACTGTTGGAATTAGCTTTTGTTGAACGAAGCGTTTCGTATTTCTTCACTACGTCGTAAAAAGGCCCCTGTATTGTGAACGACCTTGGAATTTTATTTTTTGTGTTTTTGACCTGGACAAGAAGAACCCGCCCATGGTTCTCGACATCATTAGTTGTTATGTTTGCCAACTCTTGACGTCTACATGCACCATTTATACCGAATATTAATACAACCTGAAAAG